AAAAGCTGTCAGGAGAGGGAGAATCCAGGGCTGCTAAAGCTGCATAAAGTTAACTTTTCCTTCACACTTTCTATTATGTTTCTTGAGGGAACCCCTTGGGTTCACTCCTGAGCTCACCCTCAGTGCAGCTCAGGTTCCTCAGGCCTTTCCAAATTATGTTCACCTCTAAATAGAGAATCTTTTTGCAAAAAAAATGAAGCAAGCTAAGGCTGTTGTTCTGGAAAAATACTCTCTTGGTACAAATGCTTCCCTCCAACTGACTACTCTTCTTGATTTCTCCATCCCTGTTCAACTCCCAAACGGCTGCACAGTGATACTGAAATGCATTAATCTGAAAGCAGCTAAACCAATACATTTTCAATTAGAGATTTAGTTGAGCTTGTTTTGGTTTTAGCCAAAATTGACCTTTTAGCTGCCTTACAAAACTTGCTGGATACACAGACAATCCCTACTTCTCATGCACAGCACCAGACTCTTTCTGGGATTCCTTTTGCTTACATGAGCGTTTATCTGTCCCAAAATTTATGGGTCCCAAAATTCATCATCCACATAATTACCATACAGTCTTTTAACATTATGAACCGACAATTTTTAGCATTTGTATTATCTTTCTCAATTGATTAGTTCCCTAAAAAGGTGACTCTAGTGCCCCCCCCAACAGCAGTCAGGATCTTATTTTTTGGAAATCCTGATTAACCAATTTGTTTGATTGGTAGGAGGCGTATTTTAAGGACAAACATACACACTCATTTCAATAATCCCAAATCAAACTGTTACTGAACTTTAATATTGAAATTACTGTGTTTAAAGTTCAGAACTGCTACATATTAATAAATTCAATAGGGATAACTTACCTAAAACCTACACATTACACTTAAGAGTATTTGTTATGAGAAAAAGCAGTTTAAGTCAGATGTCACAACACTTGTCAGCTTGAGGCCATTTTTAATACTTCATTCTGTTTATTAAGATATACTTCCCCACAGGAATCTACTTACCTCATCTGGATTTTACAGAATGGTCTATATTTATTCTAATAGGGGTACTTAAATTCTTCTGAATATTCTTTCAAATACTTTTATTAACCTGGAATTTTTCAAGTATCTTGCAAACTGGCCACAGTGACATCTGCTCTTACTTGTACATAGTGTCTCACTCTGAAAAAGAATTATTTTCCCAATGGGAAGATGCTCATTTTCCTTTCAGGAGCAGCCAGCTCAATGAGGGAGGAAGATACACACTGTTAAAGAGTGCTGCCTTAGAAAAAAAAATTACATGTTCATCTTCTCTTTAAGTGGAGGATTTGAATATTTTTTTCCTAGATTCAATGTTCTCTCAAACCAATAACTTTCTTGGCCTCTGATGGCTATCTGTAGTATTCTGCTGAAGGTTTTACCTGCAAACAGTTCCTATATATCATTCTTTCAATTGCACTCTTTGAATTCCACTTTCACATCAAATTTCATAGGTGATTTACTTTCTTTTTGACTACTACCTCCTGAGAAATAATTCCATGAATGAAAATAAGGGATAGATATCACTCTTAGGTGTGGATCCAGTGAGAAGCCACATGGAATGCTGTGGAAGTCCACAACATATGATGCTGACAACAATCTTAGAAAACACTTTCATTAATAACATACAAGAGAGAGAGAGAGGAAAGGTAAGAGGAACTGTAAGCCACAGTGAAAATGAAAAAATACAGAGTTCCCTTGAGCAGTTGGAAACTCATGCAAGGAAAAAAGTTCAGCGATGCAGAACTATAAATATTATGAAAATGGGAATAAAGATTCATTGTCAGCTGTCTCTTCCAAGGGGCATTAAATGATGTTAAGAGACTCAAAACAAGGTTTGCTTCACTCAGGCAGTTCTGCTGCAGAACTTCTTGCTGCGGGATATTAAGATATTTACATGTGTTCAAAATCCCAGGAGGCTGATAAAGTACTCAGTATCACTGGATAGCTGCCCTGTTCTCATACTCTAGCACTAACCTCTTGCAAGTGTCAGAGCTGGTAGGGCAGTGAATATGTTTGTTAGACAAAGTTAATAAAATGCCATATGAAACCCAGAGCACTGAAGGGAAAATCCTGAGGAAAAAAAACCCAACCAAACAAACCAAACAAAGCTGTCAAAAAAACCTTTGAAGTGACTGAATTAGATAAATAGAAATAAATACATAAGGAAGCAAGCAGACCAGTGCTAATCCAAGGCTGTTCCTACTAGGGCTCAGAAGTCCAGCTGAACCAGTGTGAACACACCCAGCATGCAGCTGTAGGCGTGTGGTCCCGTATCTCCAGGAAGACTGACAGGCAGGATGGGCTTCACATAAGAACAACAACTTGATTAAGACATGAGTGTGTGATTTATGAAGGATGATTTAAGGAAAGGTGTAAGCAATGGTGAAAACCAAAAGTGAAAGCCAGGAGAAGAAACAGCTTAGATTTTACTTAAAGAGTGTGAACATTATAACAAGGGGGAAAGAATTAAGCTCATAACACAAAGGGATAAAGTTGAAAAGGAATATGAGGTGAAATATCAAGAAGAATTATCAAAGGTGGGAATCATCTTGGCATGGCTTGTCACACACAGAAAAACTATGGAAAAGGAAATTTCATAGAATATGTGGTAAGGGATAATCAATTGCTGACCTACTGGAAAGAACAGTGGTGCTCAAGACTTCCACATAACCCTGATGCTCACCCTGGCAGGGTGCTCATGCTCTCACACAACAATGCCACATAAATTCTGTTTCTCATTATTTCCCCTTTCATGATGAGCAAAACTGTTACTCATAAGCACTTTCTTCTGTATTACACATGCCATTAGTTACACCTTATGGTCAGACCACGAGGTGCTTCTGCTGTCCAAGTCTAACCTGATCTTTAGGGCAGAGGGGTCAGGGTAAGAAGCCTTCCTAGTTTTAAAAATTCTGCAACACAGGGAAAGTAGGCAGTTGTTTATTAGCCAGCTGCAGAATGACATGGCAGCAAGTCAGTGACAGTTAAAGATACATTAGCCTCTATTTTGCCTCTGTATCAGGTAAAACACTGAGTCTCAGCACTAGAAGGATGCTCCAGAGGCTGAAGCAGTACATGCAGTGTCCAGCTCTGCACTGTCTGCCATAGTATCTCCCTCCACCTCACACATAGTGAAGGTCCTCAGCTCTGGACAGAGAAATGGTGCCTCTGGAGTTCAACATATACTGTGCCACCAGATAAACCTCTTCGCTGAAAAGGTCCTTTACAGGGAATCAAAGGACCCTCTTTCTAGAACAGCATCAGTTGGTGGGTGCAGGCAACACTAAACTCTGGATAAGTCTCTCCTCTCTTGACTTGATGTCCTACAGTGTCACAAGCAGAGAAATTACCCTCCATCCATCTCACTCTCTAGAGGCAAAGCATCAGGGCTTGTTGCTCAGAGCAAAATCCTAATGTATCAGGTAAGGTTTCAGATGATGAGCCATTATCTCTGAAGACTGGTGGAAATCCTGTCAGCACGAAGGTTATCTACAAGCTGTTAGGTCAGCAGGAGTCCTGCCAGATCAATGGGATACGAAGCACGAGTTGCTTTTCTAAAAATGTCACTCTTGATTAAGCATAAAAATAAGGCTGGTGAGGGGTCTCAGGACTGAGGGGAAAAAAGGTTTATTTGCGAGGATCTGCCTGTCCCTGCACAGGGTTATGCCTCAGCAGCTTCCAGCATCAGTGTTATCTTGCTAAGTGCCCTCTGAGTACATTCCAAACCCACAACGGAGCAGCCTCCTGGGCCATCTCTTTAGCAAAGAAAGAGCCCCGGCTCAAGAAGCAGCTCAGCGGGTGCTGGGCATGCACGAGGGACTGGACAGAAGGAGGAACTAGGGAAACTAGGACCCTCCCAACACCATGTAGCACTTAAGACAATGTCTCTTGCAGAAACTGCTATACACCAGTCACAGGGGCAACCACTGCCACCGTGCAGAGGACCAGGCCAGTTTAGCTCTCAGCCAGCCCAGAAACATTACCTGTACCTGCTGCTCAAGGCTCAGCCATTACAATCCTCTGCCTTATGTGGCAACCTGGCAGGAGCAAGTCATGGGTGAAGGGAGGCAACAGAAGCTGCTGGAGCCCACCTTTGTGAATATCACGTGTAGTGTGTCCAAGCACATTGTGTCTCCCACACTGTACACAGCAGCTGTAAGTCTTCTCCAGCTTTTTGGTTGTAATGATTGCTTGCACTGATTGCTGCCACATAGGACAAAGGATGGTGCTGGCACAGCCCTGCAGCTCAGGCTGCTCCTTTTCACTGGAGGATTCACCACCCAGTGGTGATACTCCATGCCACCTTGTTCTACCTCCTCACAGTGGCATGACAAGGCTAACATGCAATTAAAAGCCAAATGTTAAAAACTGTAAGCTTAACAAAATTTAACAAATTAACAAAAAAAAAAAGAAAAAATAACCCCAGAAACTTTTAGGGAAACTTCACTTGAGGAGGCATTTGCCTTCTCAAGTGAAAATGATGGTGCAAACATCTCACTGGGACTCCCCCATCATTCCCACACTGAGTCCACCCACAGCACTACTAGCTGCCTATGCCATCTCTGTGCATCCTTCTGTGCCCAAAGGAGCAGAGATGAGCTCTTTCCCTCCCACAGTGCCCACCCAGACACAGTCTCCTGGAGGTTCTCTTCTTGCCTATACCTTCTTTCCCATAGCAAGTCCTCGAAATTCTGTGGTCTTTTCTTGCATGTCTGTTCTCTTTCTCTGATTTAGGATTCCCTGTTACACACACCCTAAATCACTTGTACAACATACAACACATAGCACATGTTGACATACAAACACCAAATACAAATCTGCCAAGAATAGCTATCTCTCTGCCTACCCATGAAAAGCAAAGGAGTGGACAGCCTGGGGAAGTTTATTCGGAGAAATGTCAGTCTTCCCATGCTGTCTTTTCTTCAGGGAGGGATGGAAATGGCTGAGAGGAGCACGACAAGGGGGTCCAAGAGATATGTTTACCTGTATCCTGTCTTCTGGCAACTCTGTTTTCATGGCCAACATCTCTCTAGCATATACGTCAGGATAGTGGGCCTCATTGAAGGCCTTTTCCAGTTCCTCCAGTTGGTAGGATGTGAAGATTGTCCTGAGGGGAGTAAAACTCTTTAATCAAAAAACATAAGAAGAAGCAGCAAAGATGATGATGAGTCAGAGAAATGGACAGTGAAACCAGCGAAACTTGGGTAACCTGCTAACGCAAAACTTTTCCCCATCTCCTGTGTTTCTGTGCCCAAAGGTCAGGTGCCGGGGTAAAAGGAGAACCAGAAAATGCCAGAAGACAGAACTTTTAACAGTTATAAATCACCTTCCCTTTCAAGGATTTGCCTCTGGAGACTGTCCCTCCCTAGCAGTGAGCACCTGCAGTGATGGCAGCTGCTCTTACATCTCAGACTCACTGCCTCTTTGGAGGATCCTAGTGGGTGTCCTTATCCTTTATGTCCCCTGCAACTTCGAACCCACCCCCGGCCAGGCTTAAAACCACACCTCTCCTTCTCTTGCATCCAGACGTTTCTTAACCCTTTGATAGTCACACTGAGATGAAGCAGCATCCCCTCAGCACCCTGCCTGGAGAGGTGCTGAGCCCTTTCCCAGCTGCTGGTACTTAGCCTTTTCAACCTCTATGAGCAAGTAATACTTCGGCTTGAGTCCCAGTCCGTGGATGAATTCTCTGAATGTTTTATCCATTCTGCTCCCCACAACTTTTCACCATCCTTCCCCACAAGAGCCAGGGCCAGCTCCCTTTCTCTGCCTTTACCCTGGTTGCTCCCACCCCGATATCCCATTAGCTGCTCCCTGACAGTTTGCATTACCCCATTATCCTCTGGAAATCCTCCTGGACTGCGCTGGGCGGGCAGCAGCCCAACCCGCCTTCGCACAGCCAGTTCTCAGTTTGGGACAACCAAATTGAAAAATCAGCAGCTGGAAAGCTGAGACAGATGAAAACCCTTCTCCAGCGAATTGATGAGAAGTCTCAGACCACTTCCACTCCCCGAGGATTAAAACTCCCACCCTTCAACTCCTCCAGTACAGAAAATGCAATTTTTGATATAAACTGACAATACTCTGATGACAAAAAACCCCCAAACACCACCAACAAACAAAAAACACCAAAAAAACCCCCCCAAACCAAATAGCAACCAAGAAACCAAACCAAAACAAAAAAATTCAACGAAAAAAACCACCAAACCAAAATAAAACAACCCTCAACACAACAACGAACTGCAGCTTTTTTCACAAAGTCAATGTATAAATAACATCAATCTAAGAAACATGTAGCTCCCAGAAGGAAAGAGGAAATAGTCTTTTTCTAAAATACATCCAGATTTCAGAAACGCCCTACAATTCCAGAGAGCATAAACAGAAATTCTCAGAAATATCCTCCGCTATACAGAATGAAATCCACCAGATCGATAATATTACTAACAAAAGCAGCATGCAAATGCAAGGGACTTGCCTGCAACCAGACCCTTCTTTAAATTAATTCTTAAATCCGTTCTCTTTTCAAACTGTTTTCCTTCAATTCTGACAAATCTATGAATTCTAGGGACAGCAGAGGCACATCAATTCGTGTATTTTTTCTCTCTGGGACCACAGGATCCAATTTTGATCCAGTTTACATTTCAAGCATTCCCCTCCACCTTCCTCCGACAATAGCTCAGAAGCCCGTCCAGGCTCAGCGGCAGGAGGGTTTTGCCTGACGTTCAGCTGAAGTTTTCCCTTTTTAGCTCATCCCCGGATAGCCCCTGTCCCTTTTGCAATACACAATCCATTGCCCCTTTTGGTGTTTATCCTGCAGCTATATGCAGGCTATTGGTCAGTCATCTCCCAGCCCTTCCTTGGTCCAACTAGAGTCTTAGGCGTTTAGTACGGAATATACAACTATAGACAAATGTTGCTGGTCTGTTTCTGTCTAGCACTGAAAATAAAACAAATCCTCATCCAGACGGGGACCTGTACACCAGTCCCGGCTGTGTTTTCACACAGCCCTGTCCGGGCCACAAAGAAAATGAACTCGCATTTACTCCAGAGCACACAAACTGGTAATATTTGCCTGTGGAGGGGCTCCGAGTTCAGGATGAGCCCTACAGACCGAACCTCCTGTTGCACACATAGCAGGGCGCCTCCTGGGATAGTCGGTTTCCTTCCACCCCGCATCCTGGTAAGCTTTCACTGAGGCGTCTTTTAATCCACCTTTCCTGCATCGTGGCAGGATTGATTTAATTATTCCTAAATCACCCTCAGTGGATGGTGCCTGGCCTTCCTTTGTCCTGGCGCTCCGGCCACAGCAATGCCAGAACCCAGCACAGGATTTTTCGTTTCTGTTTACAAGGCGCAGACAATCCAACTCCTTTTTAACTGTGGGAGAAGTCAGGCAAAGTCTATTATCCTGACCGTGCTGAGGGGAACCAAATCCCAAAGAGGATCTTCGTTTCCTAAACAATTTTCCAGCTTTCTTCAGCTTCTCTGAAGATTGTCTCTGATTCCCAGCTATTTAATCTATTGGCAAAATATTTATTTCTAAGTAATAAAATATTTAAATTATTGATAGGAATTCTGTCTTGCTGACAGCCAATATTAAGATTGCTGTATGTGGAGCTGAGAAAGGGTTTTATTTTTGACAGGTGGATGATTTTCGCTTCCCGAACACTGGTGATCCCTATTCCGCCTAGATGTTCGTGGGTTGCTTGGGATTGGGACTGGGAATACCTGGATCCGCAGCCAGAAAAAATTTCATAAAACGACACCTGTGGTCGATCCCCCCGCTCCCTGTAGGCACGTCCCCAAATCCGATTTATTTTGGTCAAGGAGAAAGAAAAAGGGAAGGAGCCGGTGGAGAAGCCGCAGGAGCGCTCCGGCGGCGGGTGCCGGGAAGAGTATTTTGCTCCAGGCCGGAGCGGGTCGGCCCCGCCGGGGCGGCGGGGCTCGGTGGTGCCCGGTTCCCTGGGGACTGGGGCGGCGAGAGCCGGCGGGGTGGCCGCCCCTGGCTTACCTGTGCCGCCTCTTCTTTCGTTTCTTGCTCTGGTTTAGGGAAGATTTGGACATTTTTCGGTCGCTGGAGGAGACATCCTCGGAATCTGCGGAGAGACAGGCAGCGGCTGTGGGCTGGGGCTCCCTCCCCGCCAGGGACCCCCAGGTAGGGCCGGGCCCGGCAGCTCCCCTCCCTCCGCCGGCTCTGGCCGAAGATTTCGTTGCGGTCGCGCCGCGGACGGGGCACGACGCCGGCCGCTCCTTCCAGCGCGGCGCGGCCCCAGCGCCGCTCCCGCTCCCGGTGAGGGCAGCTCGGGACGATCGGCCCCGGACAGGGAAGGCTTCGGGCCGGGACCAGGCTGCAGCTCTCGCCTCTCTCCCCTGGAATCGTTTGCTGAGGCTGCTGTTGTCTCGCTGCTAAAATGCAGATCCCGGAGAGCTCAACCAAAACGTAGGAAAATGGGGAAGCTGCAGCTCCCTCCCCGCGGCCGGGCATCCGCGGCCGCCTGCCCCAGCCCGGGAATCCCGGACTGAGCCGCAGAAACACCGGAGCGGGGAGGGAGAAATTAAGGTTTATGGAGCTACCAGCAAAAACAAACCCCGGGAGGAACTAGTGCCTATCCGCAAGCCCCGACTTCCAAGGGATGCAACGGCCCGGGGGTGTTAAGGACAGTACGCCGCCGCCTTTGCCCCGAAAGAGCAGCCGAGAGACGGAACCGGGACCCACATTTCGATGTGCGCCCCGGCCGCGCTTCGGTCCCACTCCTGCCCGCGGTGTCTCGCAAACCTGCTTGGCCTCGGCGCCGTGCTGCTCTGCGGGCATGGCCCGGGTCGGAAACCGCATCGGACGGTTCCGACCGCTGCCGGGAGGAGGCCAGGGGTTGCCCTCTGGGACAGGCTCGGGCGCTGCTGCCTGCCGCTTCAGGGCTACCCGAGGAGGCCTCGGGAACGGGCCTGCAAGCAGGGTTGTGGGAGCTGCTGCCGTCTAGGAAAAGGATGCCGAAAGGCCCCTATTTCTCCGGCAACGACCTGGGGTCGCGGGGGACATCTCCGACGGAGCTCCGCGCATTCCCGGGCCGGGCGCCCCCGGCCACGCCATCACACAGCGGCCGCAGACCCGAAGAGGGGAAAATACGGTCCCGTCCGCCCTTCTCCTCTTCCTCTGGATCGAAACGAAATCGCCCTCCCGCTGCCGGGCAAGTGGCTTCCCAGCGGGGCGCGGGATGCGGGCGGCTGCGCTGGCGGGGCGCGGCGGGTCCCCGGGGGCCGGGGACGTGCCTACCTGAGCTGGCCGTCTGGCTGCTGTCCAGCTGCCCGGGAGCCCGGGCCAGGGGCTGCAGGTGGACGCTCTGGGGGTCGGAGAGCACCTCCAGGAAGGTGGGCTGGGTGTAAAAGCCGGGGATGCCGCCGGCCCCCAGTAGCCCCATGCCCACACCGCCCACTCCGGCGGGGCTGAGCACGGAGCGGGCCGCCAGCAGGTGCCCGGCGGGCAGAGAGTCCAGGGCGGCCCGAGGGTGCGACGGCGGCTCCTTGTTCAAGCCCAGGATCTCCTGGATACCGAAACCGGTGCAACGGGGAGGGGTGGGCCCGGAGCTGGGCTTGACCCCCGCCGCGGGGGGCGGCGGAGGAGGTGGCGGGGCGGCGGGGGCGGCGGCCGCGCCGTCGGGCTTGGGCTTGCCGGGCAGGCTGGGGGCCAGCGCCGCGCCCGCTTTGCCCGTCATGCTGCGGCCGGCGGTCCCTGGTGCCCGCTCCGGGAATGCCTGGGAGCCCCCGGCTCAGGCCCCTTTTATCCGCCCAGCCGGGAGCCCGAGCGGGGTCAGAGCCGCGCAGCCAATCACAGGGGCCAGCCGCGATCAGGGATGCCAAAAAGCCGGCACCGGCGGCGGCGGGGCCGCTGCTCGGCGGGCTGGGGCCGGTGCCCGCCAGCAGGCTGGGGCCACCGCCGCCCCTGCGCAGAGAAGGGCCGCCCCGGCCCGGCCCGGCTCCGTAGGCCCCGGCCCCTCTTCGCCTCCAGCCGTGCTGGGGAGGTGGGGTTAGGAAGGGAGGGAGGGATGGAGGCATCTCTGCTTTCATAAACACGCACGGCGTGGGGCACCGGTTCTGGAGGAGAGATGTGCAAAGCCTCCGAGTAGGGAAATGATGGTCTCACAATGGTCTCTCCAGCTTTCTTGCTCATCCCATATTCTGAGACAAATATGCAGTCAGCAGAGAAATTAGGGACCTTGGAGGAAACCTGAGAATTAAAACTGAACAGTGTTCCTTGAAAATGTAGAGCTGGAAGCTTTGAGTGTTGGAGAAACATTCATGGTGTCAGAGGAAGTGAAATAGTTGCTTGGACTCTTTAGACACCTATGTCCATGCCATCATTTCTGAACTGCACAGTTCCTCAGTAACTTGCCTTTCACCAGCTGTGGCAAGATACCACTCAGCTTGTCCTTGCCAGCATTACCCCACTCAAAGACATTAAACTAAGAGAAAGCTAAAGCATCCCCTGTTTCACTCAACCTGAGGCCACAGCTTGACCACAGTATGTACCATGATAATGGTCAATAGTCCACAGCATGGCTCCCAAAATCTGCCCATAGGTGCCAGTTAATCAGTGGAACACCAAACTGGGTCTGGGACTCTAGCTCTGAATCAGCATGAAAAGCCTATCTTCTGCTTCAGCTTTGAGGGGAAGCAGCTCCCTGTTCCTCCTCTTCTTAGCTTTGCAGGCCTCTGGGGTGGTCCATCAGGCCAAATGGCTGCTGCTTTCCTGTGAAAGAGAGGTTCTTCTGGCCTCCAGAGAAGGTTCTGCAGTGCCCAGTGTATGGTGGTACAACAAGGGCTGGGAACTGTCTCTGAAAATTGTGGGATCTGTCCAGGATGGCCACAGGTGTTTTGGACTGGCAAAAGGGCACATCCTGAATACTTTGGAAATCCTGGTTTAAAGCCTTGGCCTGCCTAAAGATTAGGACTGCTGCAGATACTAAATATTACACCTTCCCTGAGCAAACCAGGGGCACCTCCTGTGATGGCAGGATTGATGAGGCTGTCTGCTGTTTGAGCGGTAAGGTGGTCATGTACTGACCTGGTATTCCCAGCCATTATTTTAAAGCAACTCGTGTCTCCACAGTGAAGGAAATGGTTCCTAAGAGGTGAATGAAGACTTCCAGGGCAGTCTAAGGGACAGGGAGCTGGGAGCCAAATGCAATAACACAGTCATTGGAGCAGAATCCCTCCAGCCAGGGTCCCGTCACACTGTACCTGGACCAAGGCAAGCAGAGCAGTTGTGGGCAGTAGCCAGATTCAGCCTTCAGTCCAGATAACCACACAAGTTGATGGGGATGAGGCAGGTCCCTGTTCAAGCTGTGAAGTTCAAGTCCCACCCCCTGGGTGGGGGTCCAAATCAATAGGGTACAATGGCAAGGTACAGGTATGTAGCTCTGGCAGGAGTCAGAAATGAGACCCTCAGTTTAAAAGCAGCTGCCAGGCAAAGGCGGGAGGAACCCCTGCTGAGGGTCCCTCCAGGTCTTTCCTGACAACCTTGAGTAGCCAGCTTCACTCTTAGAAGGTGGGGAGGTCTGGTGAGGCACATCTCAGGCAAGTCTACCACATCAAACCTTGGTTGTGTCTTGTCTGCATTAGCAGATAGGTACAGAGGGGGGGGTTCTTTAGATGTGCTAGCTCACGCAATACTGACACAGAGCCCAACTTGACAAGCCCAGCAGAGCTTATCAGTCTGAGGTCCACTTTACAGTACGTGTCACCTCTATAATTTTTTGCCTCCTTGACTGGTGATTGGAAGTAGTTCATACAAAGTTAATGGTCCGACCACTGCCAGCCTATAGAGGTATAGACATAGGTTCTTTGCTGATGTATACTAAGTTTCTGGGTGTTTTTGTTGCTTTGCTCCAAATGCTTCATAACCTGCCCCCTGGGGTTTTCTTGTGTGCTTTGCAGTGGAATGTCACCCAACAGTACTCCATACACCCTCACCTCTGTTTTTTGTGGGGGTGCTGGAGGGCCCTCCATTCTCCTGATCATGTCTTCAAAGCTGTGAGGGCAGCTCTGTCCGGCTCTGCCAAATCTTTGAGAGCTGCAAAACTCAGTCTGTAGCTGCCTGCTTTTCAATAAGCCTTCTCTCCTTGTTGCCTCTCTGCAAGCTTTTGTGATTAGGAAACTGAACTTGTATATCAGTTCTTACTTATATTTCAATACCTCTGTGACTAATCTCTAGCAATATTTTCAACCAAAAGAAATTTTGTCTTTATTTGAGCTCAATTGTCTTTATTTGGCTCAAATGGTCTCCTAGGGAGAGGAACCTTAGAAAACTCAGATCCTCCCACATTTTTCCCATTCAGCTCATTTTTTGCCTCCTTCCACAGTTATTCTGCATTATCCTTGACGTCTAACTTTTCCACTTCTCCCATTTCTGTTTGCAAATCTGTCCCTCATCCAGGGCACACATATTGGGGCTGACTTGGTTCTTCATTCAGTCTTGATTTTACTCCAGCCTTCTTCTGTGTCCATGGACAACCTGAATCCCAGTAGAAGCAATGTTTGTCATTACCCCCTTAGTCTGCAAAGAAGTGTCACTTTTCCTCCATTTCTATCACATTTCTGTCAGCACAGAATTCAAAGCTGTCTTTGTCTAGACAGACTTCAGTGGATTCAGTGGGTGAAAGTGGCTTATAAAAAAGATGGAGAGCAACTTTTTTCAGTGCAAACAGTGATAGAACAAGGGGGAATGGTTTTAAATTGAAAGAGGATAGATTTAGATTAGATGTTAGGAAGAAATTCTTTACCCAGAGGGTAGTGCGGCACTGGAACAGGTTACCCAGAGAAGTGATGGATGCCTCATCCTGGAAGTGTTCACGCCCAGGTTGGACGGAGCTCTGAGCAACCTGATCTAGTGGGTGGTACCTCTGCTCATGGCAGAGGGGATGGAATTAGATAATCTTTAAGGGCCCTTGCAACCCAAACCATTCTATGATGATTCATACAGATGGGTCACAGACCTGATCTCCCTGTGCTCTTTCATCTTCTCAGCAATGGCTTTTGGGTCCTTCCAGCACAGCATCAGTTATCTTGCTTTCCTCTGCCTGTTCTGACAGTGGAAGTGGTCATGCAGCTCCTTCCTGTCTCCTTTCAAATCCTATATAGGGAAAAGTACTTTGAATAAAAGTATCTCTCAGTATGTTTCTATTTTAGCTGTGTTCTTAAACTTTGGGGAGCACTGGTGATCAATTGAAGCTTCAGCCCCTTGACAGTTTCACATTATCCTTCCACCATATGTTGTACTGTAGATATAGGACATGATAATGCTAATATGACAAGAAGAGACACTTGCTGTATTAATAAAAACTGCTGAGACACAAAGACTGACCAGAGCTACCTGCCTATAGGTGTTGTAAATTCTGTCTGTCACACAAAGTCTTCAAATCAAGGCTGAAAGTTTTTAAGAGGTGATCTGTAACTCATCCAGAAGCTATTGGCCTGACACATAAATTATTTGGTCAAGTTTTATAGCCTATTTTATGTTGAAGTTCAGCCTAGAAGGTTGTAATGTTCCCTTCAGGTCCTAAAATCTTGAACTCTATGTAGCTCTCTGTGTCTCATAGGTATGTTCTATCTACAAAAAAGCCTTCCTATATAAGAAGTTTTTGAGGTCAAGTTCCTGTTGAACATATTCTTTTCTTTACATGTCAGTATATTGATCTCTAAATAATCAAAGACACAAAGTACATGATGACAAAAGATTGTGGTGCTGTCATACCCATGGCCAGAAGCTCTCAGCTGGCAGCTGCTGGCTGAGTTACTGCAGCCCTGAGCAGACCTCTCTGTTTCTGCCTGCTCTGAAATATCCTGGTACTTCTGAGCTGCACCTCTTAATTCCTGGGTAAGATCCTCATCCCGCTGAAGACAGCATGACCTTGGTCACTGACATTTTACAGAGCTAAGATTTCACTTTGCTTAGCACTTCTTTTGGCATTTTGCTTTTTTCCCATTACATCTCCTCTCCTGACACAGATACATCCATATTTCTCCTTTTTCTCTCCTGTGGCTGAGCAGCTCTATTCATGCCTCATGGAACATCCAGCTGGTAGGACTCCACCATTCCTCACCACAGGCTATTCCTCTGTCCTGCAGTTTTCTGTAGTGAGGTCAGAGTAACTTAAGACACTTTTTCTCTGGTATCTTTCAGCTTGAGGCATTGGGCAACTCTGCCCTGTTTAGGACAAGGGGTTAGACAATACCTTTCATGCACGGGGCTGCTGAGTGGTTAAGGGCTGGACACCAAGGCTTTCTGTTAGCTGAATATATCAGTAACTTCCAGCTGGCTGTAAGTCAGAGGGGAAGAATGTAACCCTTTGAGCAAGTCTGGAATAGGTACTACATGCCAATGCCCCATCATATCTGATGCCCACTGTCCACTCCTCTCTCTGGGTAGTGCTGGATGGGACAATGTCAAAGGTTTCTTGCTACTCTTTTCCATCCCCTAAAAGAGAAGAGAATAATATTCAATGAATAAATGCTCCTATCTCCTTTTGAAAGAAGCTTACTAGAACTGATTTTTATACCAAGCTAGACCCATAGCATAGATATGCTTTCCATTGTTCTGGAGAAAATGAACTTGTTTTTGTTCTGGGGATAATATACAAGATAAAGTATCCAAAGAAGCTTTCTTGGCAGCCCATGGCCTGAGTTGCACTCTGCTCTGCCCATTCTGGGTACCGAG